AAAACCTGGTGAATTTAAAATTTCAACACGAAATGGTATTGTATTATATTGTGTTGGATCATCATAATCAGTAAAAATTACTGTAGTACTTGGATTTATTACATTTTCATTTAATATCCAATGTGAATTCTAAATTATCATAGAAAAACAAAAAAAAATGAATCTATTATCGAACATTTCTTTCAAAGAATTTTTACCGTTGGTATTGGTGCATTATTATTTATATCAATAACTTTAATACTAATTGGTACATAACTTGATACACCTAAACCAGCTTCATCTGTTGCTCGAATAGAAAAATTATATGTCGAATAACCAAATGGTAAATCACGTGAAAGACCAGGTAATGATATACCAATTGTTGTTTCATTATTTGTTTGATTTAAATATAAATTATTTAAATTTAATTGATTATTATTAGTTACAATATCATAAACAATTGATGTAGCGGGAATATCAGGATCAGTCGCTCGAATCTAAAATAGAGAAAATGCATAATTTTACATATATATATAAATGCCAATAATCATCATGTCTCTAACTTAGACTTTTGGTGGAGTATGTGTAGACAAACTTGCGAACCTCCGATCTGCTGTGAGAGAAATTTTATCCAATATTGCAGATTGAGAGAATTTAAGAAACATTCCGCTAGATTCTATTAGCTAATCTATGTGGCGCGAAAGTCTTCGCTCATTAGGATAACTGGTGCAGTCAATTAGAAACAAAATTTTCGATTGTTTTCGAATAAATATTCAAATTTTCTTTCAGGAATAAGATTGAACAACCATTAGTAAATTTTTTCAAAATAAAGTCCGAAACTGTTTCTGTCAAATAAGAGTTTTCGCACAGTCCTTAGGTTGTGTTTTGGTATAACTGTTGTAAAACACTGAATTCTGTACAAAATCAGATATTACAATAAGTGAAATTTCATTTATGTGTTTCCACTGAGATGCTAGTTTCTATGGAACTCAGCATTGGTTAAAAAATTCCTTTTAAAATTTGTCATGCAAAAGTTAATTTCACGCTCTGTGTAGCAAATTTTGCTCGAGAGTACTGAGCCATTAAAAACTGTTTCACATTTTGAATTTGATTGGTTTCATTCGGAATATAAAATTGACCAAAGTGGAGCACTATTTTTTGATCTTTTGCGATTCTAACTATGTTAAAGTAACCGAAAAATAAGTGAATGCCAAGACATTCATGTCTTCGATTATCTGTCGAATCTGAACAATGGTTAAAATTCCTTCTTGTTTGTTCCATCAAGAAGAATTATTAAAATAAAACTAAGCATGCATTGAACTCGCGAGCTCTAGATCTGTGTTCAGTAACAATCGAACTAGCTCAGACATTTCTTAGGAGTGTTCAATATGCAATCATAAGTCTTAATCCAAATCTAATCTTTGCAACAAACAAAAAAATGACTTGCTTCTTTTTTTTTCTTCTATTCTAGACTAAATCTCTTTCAAATTATTCCTAAATCAAAAAACTTCATAACTTACAACAGGTCCATTAAGTCTAGAAATTGCAGTTCCTTCATTAACTTCATATTGATAAGACGTAAAACCTGGTATTAAATTAAAATATGGTGCTCTAGTATTTTGTGGTAATAAATTAATTGTAACTGTTATTGTTGCTAAATTTTGTGTATCAAATGCAAATAAAACTAATGTATAATTAGGTGTTATTTCATAACTTAATGGACCAGCAACATAAAGTTGTCCAATAGCAATATATTGTTTACGTGATGAATCAGCTATATTATCAGATAATAAATTAAATGAAAAAACATTTTTTGTATTTCCACTTAATATTCCAAAATCAGGTATTGTATCAAAATCTGTATCAATTATTGTTAAATTTAGAATTCCTGTACCATTCATTGTTGTTTCATTTATTGATATTGTTATTGATGATGAATTAATAAAAACTAAATAAAAACAAAAGTAAATTATTTCATTGAAATCTCCTTCAATAAAAATATTTTACCTGGTGGAACACCATTAACATCAATAACTTGAATATCGAATTGAAAATCTTGTGTATTTGGTTCATTATTTAATGCATTCCATGCTGGTGCACCATCATATGCAGTTATAAATAAATGATAAAGAGTTTTATTACTTTCACAATCAAATGTTGCATTTGTCCATATTGTACCATTTGAAGCAACAAAAAAAATTCCATTTACTTCTGAATCACTTAAATTTCCATTTAAACGATATTGTACATAATTATTTGGATAATCAACATCACGATCAAATGCTTGAATTTGTGCAATAATACGATTTCCATTTTCATTTTCAACAACACTTAATACAATTGAACGTATATCAAATGTTGGTATTTGATCATTTTGATCAATTAATGTTATTGTTGTTGAACCAATTAATGGAGGATTAACAAGTACACGAATATATATTAAATAAACACTTTGAATTTCAGCATGAAGACCACTAGGAAAATGAAAAACATATGATTCTATTCAAAAAACGGAATTCATTTTGCTCAAAATAGAACAGTGAGTGATAGAATACAAAGATTCATCTATATGAATTTCATCATCGATAAGTAATTTACAGACAATGACTAGATCCTCGTTCCCTATGTTAAAGTTCGAACTAGGACTAAATCTGAGCAAGATCGTTTCGGTACATCAGCTTCAACACTTTTCCATTCGGAACGATACCTTTTATGGTCGTATAAAAGTTCCATTGAATTTCATATTGTAACGACTAGAGCCCACCGGGTCCAAAATTTGACTCAGCGCCCCTCCGAAACAGAAAATCTGGGTGAAACAATGCCGATTTTTTGAAGGTTTTTGGGACTTGAACCCCACTTCGATAATTTCCTAATCGGAATTCCATATACGCGAGACACTTTTTTCTATTCAGTGAGTAGCGCGCTCAGCACATTTTTCAGGGGACTAGAGTCTATCAGATCTAAAATTCTTGGATCCGGACCTAGCTTTCAGTATTTATTATCCAACGTGAAGGCCCAGGGAGCAACGCTCCTTCGAACATCGGCTTAGCCCTCACAGAGTTTTAAATCGACCTTCCGAAAGAGAAAATCTGGATAAAATACTGCCGATTTCTTGAGCGTTTTTGGGACCCGATCGAAGCGTACTTTGATAATTTTCTAATCAGGTTTTGATAATCATCTCGAAGGTATAGGATACTTTTTTTTTTCTATTCAGTAAATAGTGCACCCTATGCATTTCCAAAGAGACTAGTGGATATGAAATTTTTGGGCTAGTTGAGGATTATTATAAAATGCTAAACCAATCCATCGAGTCGGAAAATAAAACCGTTGTAGCAATTTAGAATTAATTCCACAATAAATATCTCATCGGTTTTTGATTACAGATTCGTCATGCATTTGAAATTTATTATAAACCTGATGGACTTTTGTATGAATACCTAAGTTCGTTTAACTCTGCTCATAAAAATTCAAAAAATATAAATCTTCATTTATACCTTGTAACAACAATACCACTACTAAATATATTTCCATTTCTTGATACAGGTACATCACTAAATGGTATATATGTATTTTGAAAAGGACTACGAACAGTCATAATAGATGATGTTTGTGATGTTAATTGATAAATAATAGTACCATTAAAACCATAACTAAGATTAAATATAGGTTGATTTCTATATATTTCATAATATTTTTCAATAATTGGAAAATTTAATTCTTCATAACGTGGATCACTCCATCGTGCTGGTGGTGGATCATTACCATTATTATAATAAATTGTTACCGTTGCATTAGCTTCACTAACTCGTGGTGGTGAACCACGATCTTGTGCATAAACTTGAAATGTTATTGGAAATTGATTAACATCTAAACTAAATACACCTGGTACATTATCACGAAGTATAATTGTTCCTGTTGTTTGATTTATTGTAAAATATGGAACATTAATTGTACCAATAAAATAATTAATCATACCATTTAAACCAGAATCAGCATCTGATGCAATTATACGTAAAAAACGTGCATTATTAGAATTTCCAAATGCTGAACGATATATTGTATAATTCCATGATGTCATTATAAATACTATGAAAAATATATATTAAAAAAAATACTTAATTAATTTTATTTATATTACCTGGTGGATTATCATTTAAATCAAGTAAATTAATACGTAAACTACAGAACGCTAAAAAAAGAAAACAAAATAAAAAAAAATCATTAATAATACAATACTTACATTGTCGTTGTGGTGTACCATTATCAGTAGCTAATACGAACAAATACCAAACACGTGTAGCACCTAACAACACAAAAAAGTTCTTTTTTGTTGAATATCTTAAAAAACCAATTGTAGTTTAAATATTCGTTTTTTTTCTTTTATCTTGTCATTCTCAACTTGAACTTTATTGCACAATAGAGCAATATATACAAAAAAGAAAAACTTACTTTACACTGATTACCACTTTCATCATACTCTGATAGTAACAATTGATTATTATTAGATCATCAGCAAAATTATCTGAGGGAAGTGTACAGTATGTAAAACATTGTCGGAACGAATACATTGACAACAATTCGAGTTTTTAGCTTATTGTTTCCAAGATACTGCATTTTTATGATAGGTTTTAAATGCATGCCATGATCTCACTCAAGAAAATGTATTTTCGATTTTGCATAGAGACAGATCTTAACGAGAATAATTTATAGTGAAATTCTCAAATCTTTTGATTTGCATATTTTTCTGAGATAAGAACAACGAAATGATTCCTACTAAGGCCTATCTCTGTACATAGTTTCAAGTCGAAATTCGAAAATAAGATTTTCTAGTGTTCCTGATGAGGGAACACCACCAACTGATAAATCGCTTTTTAAATTTTAGTCATGCCAATTTGTAGAGCTTGTCGAGTTATTAACTGATATAATAAGCATTCGTGCCAACAATACGACTGTAGAGGAAATTTCTGCTAATCAAAGTCTCCATTAACCTGTCCATATCCTATAGTGGCCCTATAGGACCTTATAAGATCCTTTAGGGACCCTATAGAAGGCTTAAAAGGCCCTATAGAGGTCATATGGGGCCTCTGTATGATCCTGTAGGTTCTCCTATAGGAGTCCTATAGCACCACTATAGGGTATGAACAGGTTAATGGAGACTTTGATTACCAGAAATTTATTCTACAGCCATATTTTTGGCACGAAAGATTATTATATCAGTTAATAACTCAACAAGCTCTACAAACTGGCATGACTAGAATTTAAAAATCGATTTATCAGTTCATGGTATTCTCTCGTGAGAGAGACTACGATATTGACTTAAAAAATACTGTATAAATCCAATATATCAAGAGCCCTTATTAAGGTCTACATGATACACATAGTCTCAACTTGAAAACAATCACTTAGTGGACTTTCTTCATCGGACTGAAAAATTTGATTTGAAATTAGGACTGAGATACGGATAAGATCGGCCGAGTTTCGATTCAAAAACTTTACCATGAAATATACATAGGACTTAGAAATCTTTTTAGATATTCTCTTGTTAAATTTATATGCAGTCGTTAATTCATTGAAGAACAAGAACACTTCATTAATCAGCTATCTTGAAGTAAGAGCTCTTATTCGAACTCAAGCATTCTGTACTCGCAAATAATCTATTAGAGTGGATGTATATCAGAACGTAGTTAATATATGATCGCATGAATGACGTGAGACAAGCAGACAGTTAGTGACCTATTCATGGTTGATAGCGTCGACATTTAAATATCATAACTTTATAGTGTCTATTGAACAACTTTACTATTCAACTATAATGATTGTAAAAAAAATTGATATTTTGTCTTCAGGCATTTCATTATACTAAATGATCTATTGATATTACCTGGTGCATCATAATCAAATGATGTATTTATTCGTAATACAGCTGTTCGAGTTGTACCCGTTTGTGTTAATTGTTGTATATAAAATTGTGAATAAGCCGTATTTCTTAAACCACTCACTTAAACCAAAAAAAGAATTTTTTTTCCTTCCAAAAAGAAATTTCTAAATCAAATTTTACCTATCGTTCTTGATTGTTCCGATGGAAATGATATTGATATTTGTCCATTTTCACCTCGATCATCATCAAATACCGTTAATGTTGTTATATTAGCACCAATTGTATTACTTTCATAAAATGAAACAGTTGAACCACATATTTGATTTAAAAATTGTGGTGATCGTTTATTAACAGCTGTAACATTAATTGTTATTATAGTTGATGTTGAAAATCTTGGACATGGTGAACGTGCTGGTGAACATGATGTACCATCATCACTTGCTGTTACATTAACAAAATATTGTGATGCTGGTGATGATTGAAGTGTTTGTTGTAATTGTAAAACACCTGTTAATGAATCAATTGAAAATTGACTACTACTAATTGAATAAATAATTCCATCATTATCAGCATCAGTTGCATAAACAGTACCAAAACGTGTACCAATAATAGCTGTTTCACTTATTGAAAATATTTGATTTGATAGTATAAATATAGGTGCATGAACATTATAATTTTCTAAATTTATTTGAACAATTGCTGTTGAACTTACTAATGGTCGATTTGGATATGTTTGTGTTGCAATAAGATTAAATAAATAACGATTATAAGGTGAAAAGTAATTTAATGGACTAAAAAGAAAATGATAAATTTTTTTCTTTTTTTTTTTAATGTACTTATTTAACCTTGTTTATGACTTACAATGTATTAGTAACAAGAGCATAAGAACCATTTGATAAACTATTAACAATAAAATCTGGATTATTTGATGTTACTGTTATAATTTCTGGTGTTATATTAAGTGCACGTCCAGTAACTGATGTTGAAATAAAACTTGATCGTGTATAAATTGTTTGTGGTTGAATATTAAATATAAATACAGGTGTATTTATTGGAGATAATACAGAAAAACTTGATGTTGTTATTGTATAAACAGATTGATCGAATAATGGACCACCAAAATTAACATTATTAAAAAAATCTGGTATATCATTTTGACATGTTTGTTCCGTAATTAAATTGGACTGGATTATATTAAGAAATATAAAATAGTGAAACAATAAACATTGATGATGTTTCTTAGAACAGATCATTATATATCTAAAAATTAGATTTCGAGTTTGGATAAACACACCTTTTTAGTTTTCTTGTAAAGTATTAAGATAGTAAATATTGCTGTCTAGTATCAATATCCAAATCGAGCAATTATAGTCATAAATGAGTCTGCTTTTACTACTTATTATGCATTGATTTAAGGTTATTGTCAATGAAGAGTAACGTTGGGACATAAAGAATAATTCTTTCAGTGTTTTGAATATACCTCGACAGAAGTA